GAAAATATTATTTCAACATGTAATCAATAGAAAAATGATGTGATATTTTACACTCTTTTAAAAAAATATTAAGTCTTTGAACCCAGTGTGTTCTTACACTGACAGCCCATCTGCATGTGGCCCAACCACGTTCCAGTACGCCAAAGCCACAGGTGGCCAGGGACATCCACACTGGACAGCACAGGGCTAGAGGCACTGGATGGGCCCTTCCCTGTTTCAAGCTCAGTGGCCTGGATGTGCGCAGAAGGAGGAGTCTGGATCTGGGTTTAAGCTACAAGAACTCCCTCCCCTGGGATAACACAAATATTTTCTGTAATACTCCCCTGCCAGGATTGAAGAGAACAGAAAGAAAGGCAAGGGAAAGAAAATAAATGATGCATTTTTCTTTTATTATTATTATTTTTAGAGACAGGGTTTGGCTCTGTTGCCCAAGGTGGAGTGCAGTGGCATAGTCATGGCTCATGGCAACCTTGATCCCTGAGCTCAAGCAATCCTGCTGCCTCAGCCTCCGGAATAGCTGGGGCTTATAGGCACATGCCACCATGTCTGGCTAATTTTTATTTTTGTAGTGATGGAGCCTCACTGTGTTGCCCTGCCTGGTCTCAAACCCCTGGGTTCAATCAATCCTCCCACCTCAGCCTCCCAAAGTGCTGGGATTACTGGCTTGAGCCACCGTGCCTGGCCCTTATTTTTCTTTATATCCATAACAGATTGTAATAATATACCACTGTACACAACCTTGCTTCTCCTAATAGAAAGCACATTCTTTATTTGTACAAATAAAAAACCCCGAAATTCCAAGGCTCTGACTGGGGCCCAGCAAGAATTAAGGTCATCAGGCACCAAACAGGACCCAAGGGTAAAGGGAGAGTGTGGGGTTACCTGGAGACTCCCCGCGCAGAAAACGAGAGCTGGGGGCTACAGTGAGGGGGCCATTCCACTGTTCGGGTCTCTGGGCTCACTCTCCATTCAGCATTGAGCACGTGAACGTGGGCATAGAACTTGGTGGTTAAAGCTTGAAGAAAAAGGCCCAAGAACCAATAGAAACTGAAAGAAACTGACAGCATACTGAGGAAACACCTTATCCTCTGCCTCTTGCCGGTGTCCATGTAAAAAAAGATCTGAGATTTTAAGAACAATGGGCAGGGGGGCAACATAGTGAAATCCCCCCATCTCTACAAAGAACAAAAAATGATCTGGGTGTAGTGGAACGTGCCTGTAGTCCCAGCCACCTGGGAGGCTGGGGTGGGAGAACTGCTTGAGCCTTGGAGGTTGAGGCTGCAGTAAGCTGCACTCAAGCCTGGGGACCAGAGTGAGCCCTGGTCTCCAGCAAACAGAACAAAACAAACAAGACTCTGGAAGACAATTCAAACAACCAAACGAAAACAAATACAGGCTTGCTAGAGAACCTTTTGAAAAAGGATCTAGGCTGGGCACAATGGTTCAAGCCTATCTAGGCGGATGATCACCTGAAGTCAGGAGTTTGAGACCAGCCTGACCAATATGATGAAACTCTGTCTCTACTAAAAATACAAAAATTAGCTGGGTGTGGTGGCAGGTGCCTGCAATCCCAGCTACTTGGGAGGCTGAGACAGAAGAATCGCTTGAACCCGGGAGACAGCGGTTGCAGTGAGCCGAGATCACGCCATTGCACTCCAGCCTGGACAATGAGAGTGAAACTCTGTCTCAAAAAAAACAAAACAAAACAAAAAAAAAAAAAACAAAAAAAGAAAAGAAAAAAGAAAAAGGACCTAAAACTTCTTAATAAAAGCTCTTGGGGCCAGTTCTGCTGGAAAGAGGACTGGGTTTGAACTGAATGGCAGTCATCAGAACCTGCGGTCATCAGGACCTGTTTGCTTAAATGGCACTTGGAAAGACGGGTATACAATAACATTTGGATAGATGGTACTTTCTGCAAGTGGGGAAGAATGGTTTCAGTTGTACAGAGTTTTATGGGAGCAAAACAATAAGAACAATTCTAAACCCAGATTTTCTATTTGATCCTCAGTCTCCAGAAAGTTTGACATCCTAGATGAAGAACAAAACTAAGTTGAACATGGACACAGGGAGGCGAACAGCACACACTGGGGCCTGTCAGGAGATGGGGTGGGCGGAGGGAGAGTATTAGGAGAAATAGCTCATGCATGCTGGGCTTAATATCTAGGTGATGGGTTGACAGGTGCAGCAAACCACCACGGCACACGTTTACCTATGTAACTAACCCGTACATCCGCACATGTACCCCAGAACTTAAAATAGAAAAATTTAAATTAAAAACAAAAAAGGCAGAGACTCTTCAAAGTGAGAGGATATGTCAGGTAGCTACTACTATTCTTCCTCCAAATTAATAGGTGTAAGGTACCTGTTTAATCAGCTGGAGGTTAGAAAAAATATATAAATAAATACAGTATTTTTCATGGAAACGACAAAACAAAACAAAAAAACAAAAGTGAAGTTGAAAGCCCTATGTGTTAAGGTCACTCTGAACATTTTACCTTTCCTGACAAGCAGAGACCAGGAAAAGACAAGGAAATGAATTTAAGGTACTCAAGTTCCAAATACACGAATCTATTCCTATTTGTTTTTCTCTTTCTTTTCTGAACAAGTTGGGGGACACAGGCAGAAGCAACAACAGCCACTGACTGAGCTGACTGTATTTTTCATGGGGCCAAGAATGACAATGTGTATTTCCTGGATGCCAGAGGGGGTCTCTATCAATGACACGGGTATTCAACACCAGAGGGCCTGGCTCCCTGCTCGGGAGGACTCATGGGTCACCTTGGATGACCCACACCCTCTGACACCTGGCAGAGTGGTAAGGTATCTGAAACATCTATTGGGAACAGAAATATTTAGAGTTAGTAATTATTTTCTTAAATCTTCTTGGTGGCTTCAGAAACAAATGATTATTTTGGGTAAATTCATTTATTTTGACTCCTGCAAAGGGAAGAAATAGGGCTTTTGTTGTTCTTGTAGAGTTATTGTTTTTGAGACAGTCTCGCTCTGTTGCCCAGGCTGGAGTGCAGTGGCATGATTTTAGCTCACTGCAACCTCCACCTCCCAGGTTCAAGCAATTCTCCTGCCTCAGCCTCCTAAGTAGCCGGGATTACTGGTGCACACCACTACTAATTTTTTTGTATTTTTAGTAGAGGCAGGGTTTCACCTTGTTGGCCAGGTTGGTCGTAAACTCCTGACCTCAGGTGATCTGCTCACCTCGGCCTCCCAAAGTGCTGGGATTATAGGAATGAGCCACTATGCCCAGGTAGGAAGAGGGTTTTAATACAATTTTTCATCTGGCCTGAAAAATATACTTCAGTGTTCAACGATTTGAAATCTCTGAGATATCAGGGAATGAAAGGGATTAAAAGCGTTAAGAAATAGAAACATAAAGGGGTGTGTGTGTGTGTGTGTGTGTGTGTGTGTGTGTGTACTGTTTCTGTTTCTGCCCAGAGAAGACATCTGTCAGTGCTCATAAACCCTGTTCCCTCTGGTGATAAGTTAGGACCAGCTTAACCTAATGGTGGGCAAAAAAAGAACATGCAGAATTCAATGCAATACACATCCTGACAAGTTTCTAAGAACCACGAGAAGTTTAGAAGCAGGAAATAAATAGTAACACCAACCACAAGAAGGCTGTCACTCACTCCAGAGTTTAAAGTGTTCATACACAGGTGGGGGTGGGCTGTAAGCAAGCCAGCATTGTAGCAAAGAAATAACGGACCCCGAGGAGATTCCAAGGATGTAAAAACACAAATGAAACAAAATACAGCCAAGCCTCACCAAAAAAATGATAACCGTGGGAGGTAATGCATTTGTTAGCTAGATTTAACCATTTCAAAATGCATATATACTTCAAAACATTGTGTTGCACATAATAAATGCACCCTGCTTTATCTGTCAACTTAAAAATAAAAATGAGAAGGGCCAGGTTCGGTAGCTCATGCCTGTAATCCCAACACTCTGGGAGGCCAAGGTTCGAGGATTGCTTGAGCCCAGGAGGTTGCGACCAGCCTGAGCAACACAGTGAGATCCCATCTCTAAAACAATAAAAATAGAAAAAATGAGCTGGGTATGGTGATGCACACCTGTGGTCTCAGCTACTCTGGATGCTAAGGCAGGAGGATGGCATGAGCCTCGGAGGTCAAAGCTGTAGTAAGCTGTGATCACGTCACTGCGCTTCAGCCTAGACGATAGAGTAAGACCCTGTCTCTAAAAAAATTAATTAATAGGCCAGGTGCAGTGGGTTACATCTGTAATCTCAGCACTTGGGAGGCTGAGGTGGGCGGATCATGGGGTCAGAAGTTTGAGACCAGCCTGGCCAATATGGTAAAACCCCATCTCTACCAAAAATACAAAAATGAGCTGGGTGTGGTGGCGAACGCTTCTAGTCCCAGGTACTCAGGAGGCTGAGGCAGAAGAATCACTTGAACCCGGGAGGCAGTGAGCCGAGATTGCACTACTATACTCCAGCCTGGGCAACGGAGCGAGATTGTATCTCAAAAAAAAAAAAAAAAAAAATTTAATTTTATAAATGCAAAAAATTTTTAATTAAAAAATTTTAAAAATATAAAACTTTATAAATGAAAAATAAATGATAACCAAAGCCCTCAGGCCCACTACCTTGCACCGAAAGCCATGTTTGGGAGACAGCAGCTAGTATCCACAGTTCTGACGCTCAGTCAAGGCAAGCAGAGCCAGCCCGTGAAATCCTGTACTTCCTGTTTCTGCAGAGCCAGCCACAGCACGGTTGAGAGAGGTTCTCCAAATGGGAAGACAAAACAGCCAGCTCCTCTGCAACGGCTGCAGAGCCCCAGAAAGGGCGCTCCTGGAAGGAGCAGAGTCTCGGCCTCATCAGCCAACACCACATTCACTTGGGTGGGGGCGATGGCACTGCCCACCTGGCCTCACTGTCCTTGCGTTCCTCTTTCTGACACACTCAACAGGGAGCAATGAGGCCGGGGCGACGTTCTCCCGCAGCAGCCTGTGAGTCTCCTTCTCTTGGCCGTCTTCTTCAGGAGCCCTTCCGCTCTGAGAAAACCAGCAAGGCTTCTCCAAGTGCACCGAGCAGGAGGCTGCAAACAACAGCAGGAGGTCAGCTCTCAGCTCCCCTGGGACCCCTGAGCTGTCTGGCACCCACATATGCAGGGCAAGGGGTGCCTCCCCTCATTCTGCGACTGTGACTCATCACCAGCCCGGACTGCCATGCTTCCAGGTTAAGCCCAGGAATCGCTCCTATCACTTGGGTGCAAAAGGGAGGTGAGAGGGCTGGGAAGCAGGGCTGGATAGCTTCCCTTAGGGAAGGAGGTGATGTGACCCACACATCCTGGCCAGGTGAGGGCGATGCAGTTGGGTTAGTGCTCTCTGGCAGAAGCCCTCTGGTGCTGTTGGCTAAAGAGGGCTGATGGGTAGGAAATCACGCAGGTATACATACACTTAAAATTCAGGTGATGATCTCAGGATCTTTTCATTTCATTTAAACTATAGAACATTTAAAGGTGAAAATGCAAGTGGGGAATCATAATTTTCTCACCGGCACAGAGAAACACGGCCAGTGATCTGAAAATGAAAAAGCAGTGGGAGAACTGGAGACAGTGAGGGAAGAAGAGCTGAATATTTTAATATGCCTCTAATGTAATACAGCTAAAGTCTCTCTGCTTTCTATTTTGAACCTTGCCGCAGACAGTCTGGTGACTATCTGAATCCTATCAGTCTTCTGGGGCCTGTGCTGGGCCATCTCCGAGGGACCATGGTGGTGGGTGCCTGATGGGAGAGCCCCCTTTTCAGAGGTGCCAACAGCCCTTTTAATCAGACCCTTTCCTTCCCTTCCACTCCCATCCACCTACCCAACACCCCAATCCTTCAGACGCTCACTCTCGACACACAGCCAGGCCATGGCACCTTCATATCTTGAACGTTTGGGGTGCTGAGTGTATGACATACATATAGGCTACATTCCCGGTGAAAAATGTTCCTTTGGTGGGTGACCCTGACATACAGGTAACTCACACCATTTTCCACTTCAGTATAGGAATGAACTGACTATGTGCGAGAATATAAAACAATACGCTTTAAAATCAGGCCAACCCGAGTTCAGGCTCTGGCGCAGGCCTGTGTTAGATAGGCGATCTGGTGTGTGCTTTCAGCCTCAGTCTCTCCATCTGCACCATGGGAGATGATCGCATCCAACAGTCTCTTTGAGGCTTAGAAATAACACATCAGAAGCAACCCACCGCTGTGTTTAGCCTTGATGGACAATCACTAAAATAGGATTATTAATATTTTCTAGCCGACTGCCCTCCAAGAGTAGTAATCCCCTCCTCAGCGGCCCTCCAGGTAGGCCACCCAAGTTCTGCCTGAAGATGTCTAGTGAGGAGCATGTCCTGTGGAGTGAGGCAAGCCTGTCCCATGGATGAGTGGCTCTGGTCACTGCATTCACATGTGTCTCCATGGGCATCTCACTCGTGGAAACCACTGGGGTTGGCGGGGACTGGACAAGACATGTTCCTCCCCGCTGCTGAGCCCAGTGACCCTTCATCACACTGATCCTACAGTGGCAGTTTCTTACAGCCTCGCCTGCGAGGCCAAGGTCTGCTCTCCGGAGCAAGAGAGAACAAATGTACTCCTTCATCAGCTTAGAGACTGGGAGAATCTCCCCAAACACCGTGATCTCCTCTTTCTGGTGATTAAATGCCTCTAGGGGAGGGCAGCAGGAGACAGTGGTCACTCAGTACAGGGGGCTTGGAGGATGTCCCCCACCTGGGGTCACAGTGGGAATGGAGGAGAGGGAGCCGAGGGAGTTGGATGCCTGGTACCTTAGTCCAAGATAGGATGTACTTTCCTCTTTCCTTCCTACAGAAAGAAAACTAGAATAGTGAAACTAGTTGATCGATCTTACGTAACTCACAATAATGTAGCTGGAATGAATGGCCACGTCATGAACTGAATAACTATCTCTGGACTTCCCCAGATCTGTAATCATAATTTTCAGCACTGCCTCTGACAGAAACTGTGGCCCAAGTTCCCAAAGACCCTATTTGGAAACAAGGCCCCTTTGTGAAGCTGGGAGCCTGCTTGTCGCTTGTCTAGCTCAGGACCCCAGATGCTGAAGTCCTATCACCTCTCCTCTTTGGAAAATACATGACTGTGAAGGAGAAGTGTTCTTTGTGCACATGGCCTCACCTCCAAACACCTGGCTTTCCCAAGTGACTGCTGTCTCCCTCCGTAGCCCTTCAAGAGTACATATGCCACCCTGCCAAGTCCCCGGGCCATGCAGAGTCACTGCAACCGGATGCAAGGGCTGCCTAGGGCTTTACGTTTGGGAGGGTTTTATTCCTGCAAATGTAACAGGGAGCTCGGACATTTTATACACTTTCCACTAATCCTTCTTAATCACCAGGGAGAAAACCAGGGTAGCAGTTGGCCCCTTGCCACTTTACTCCCACAGCCTAGAACAATGCTGGACTGTAATAACCTTGCATTCTGTCCCTTCGCCTGAGCTATTTTACAAAACACCAAAGCAGCTTAGTTAAATGCTAAAAATGAAAACAAACCTTAGTTCAGTTTACTGTTAAGAGAGCCAGGGAGGTGAGCTTTGATGTTGTTTTCTAAACAGCAGGAAAGGCTGACATGGGTCCAGGAATCTTAATAGCATTACAACTATTTAAGTCAGAGCTTGACTGAACTGTTTGCAAATCTTGTAATCCCCATCATTCCTGAAATGAACAAACTTCACGTAACCAAGGCATAAACATCAGATTGCAGGGCGCACATGGCCAGAAATATCCATCACTAGCTTCACTTCCAGAGGTTTATTTTCAGCGCTCCTCCAGCCCTTCTCTTTTCTCCTATGGGGGACTGAAGGCTCCATTTAAATTTTACATTTATTATTGTGGCTATTCAATTAATTCCTGTGGAGCCCAGTAGAGAGAGGACGGAGGCTGCATCCTTCACCTGGCTGAAGGTCCCATGCCTAATGCAGCACTCAGTAAATACTGATTCAATGAATAATTAAACTGTTAATATTTGCTGCCCCCTTTCCCATCTATAGATGGGAGGAGTCGCAAACTATTTGGTCTAAAATAGTTTGGTCCCAAACTAGCTTTTCCTTTTTCTCTCTTCCTCACCACAAATGCATCTGCCCATGTTCCATTCCTTGGGGCTGTGCCAAGTGAGTTCATAATCTATTAAGTTATGATAAAATTTGAAAAGTAATGAGCAATCATTATTGAGAAGGCCCTTCTTACACAGAATTTTAAAGAGGAGGTTTCAAATTTTTAATTCAAATGGAAAACTCATAAATTTCAGACACTGTGATCCTGAAGGCATTTTAGAATGTGATGGGGAAAGTTTTCTTTGCCTCTAAATTAATTCTTTCTATACATAGGCTTGGGCCTTAAAACTAAAGGGATAAGAAATCTTTACACAAAGATTATATAAGTTATAATAATGATCTTTAAAGATCATTTTCTAAAGGCCCTTCGTGGTGTTGGTGAGGTTTGTGCTAGGCTCAAGTTGAAGTGATTCTGATGGGTGACAAACTGCAATCTATGGCAAGCTCAGTGAATGACGTGCAGAGGGAAAAAGGTGGTCATGGAACCCTTAGAACAAAGAAGCTGCATTTGGTGATTCCTTTCTTTCCTTGTCCTGAAACTATTCCAAAGAAAAGGGTGACTTTCCCTGTCTGTAAAAGGGGATTCAGAGAGGAGGCACCATAATTAATTCCACTTGACAGGGACACTGCTCTCAGGTCAGAATCTTTCTCTTTTGTATGCTTGAAATCTCCTTTGCTGAATTTTGAAATAGAGGGAATTAATATATACTATAAAACTGTTAATTAAAAATGAATAATTAAATAGGAATCTGGATATTTAAATTACTGGACTTGAAATAGATTGTTTTTATAATAATTGGCTGGACAAGAGCAGTTGTTTTTAATTAAAGATTTAAAACATTGACCAACATAGGCCGGGCACAGTGGCTCATGCCTGTAATCCCAGCACTTTGGGAGGCTGAGGTGGGCAGATCATGAGGTCAGGAGTTCGAGACCAGCCTTACCAACATGGTGAAACCCTATCTCTACCAGAAATACAAAAATTAGTTGGATGTGGTGGCACAGGCCTGTAATCTCAGCTACTCAAGAAGATGAGGCAGGAGAATCACTGGAACTCGGGAGGTGGAGGTTGCAGTGAGCTGAGATTGTGCTACTACACTCCAGCCTGGGTGACAGAGTGAGACTCTGTCTCAAAAAAAAAAAAAAAAATTGACCAACATTGAGCACTTAGGTTTATAATTGTTCTTGGATATAATATTTTGAAGGCTGGCCACTCAGTGTTGATTCAGCAAGTATTCAACACTAGGTCTAGAGATGCAAATGTGAATAAACACACCCTTTCTCCTAGAGCTGCTCACAGCCTGGTGGGTGAGATGGTGCTGGCCACCTGTCACTCAGTGCAGCAGGTGCCTATGGAGCCAGATACAGACACAGAGGGAATGGGAGGAGCAGCTGAGGGCCTGACACTTGAGCTGAGCCAAAGCTCTGATTTGATGAGCAAGTTCCTTGAGATCCTGCTGAAATTTCAAGTGGCATTTTCTCCACTAGCTAATATTAAGTTTAGACCAGTGATTGTCAACTGAGATTGGACATTTGGCAATGTCTAGAGACGTTTTTCATTGTTACAACTGAGGGGGTGCTACTGGCATCTAGAAAGTGAGATTTAGGTTTGCTGCTAGACATCCTACAAGGCACAGAACAACCCCTCAAAACAAGGAATTATCTGGTCCCAAATATTAATAGTGCTTTAGGTAAGAAGCCCTATTTCAGATGGCCGATATTGTGCAGCTAAGTTGTTGTCCATCCAAGCAGGAGGATAAGGACATATATATTTGAACACAGTGATCTTCCTGGAGTCAGGGAATGTGCCTTTCTTACTTCTGTAGCCTCAGAGCCCAGCCCAGCCCTTTGGTGGAATGCATGAATATACAAATACATGGATGCAAGGCTACTGGCTAGAGCCAGGTCCTTCAGTCTCAGCCAGCATAGGGTGGTGGAGGCCATGGTGGATTGGAGAGCACA